AGTTTTCAGAATAACAGAAAGCACAAAACAATATGTAGCTAATTCTAACTCTGTAGTGATAGGGCCTGACTTGCTTATCATGGTTTGTTTCTAATTAAAAATGATATTCTCCTTGGAATAGAAAATCTACAGGTGGATAAAGAATAACTTCCCATGTAATAGATTTGGCACAATTGACAACTTGCATGTTACCTAGCATCACAAGTTAATATGCATCTTCCAAAAAAACAGCAATATTTAGCTACTTAATTGCATTTGGTAAGTGGCAGCTTAAGTCATTAATTACTACATGCTTAAGTCACATGATAATCTTCATAAAAGACAAAATCTCTTATTCCTTTTTGTTGAAATGAAATCATTTCCAACACCAGATCAAATTCATGACTTGTTCTAAAAAAAGTCAAACTTTATGCTCTTTAAACCAAACTCTTAGGATTCAGTTTTAGTAGGCTTTTGGGTTGGACTTCAGGATTATTTATCTTCTGTTTTTCTAAGTAACATTTATCATATATACCTAAGCTAATTTTATGTCCATATATTTAAGGTTGTCATTGCATTGATGACTGGTCTTTCAAAACATTGTAAGTCACTAGGTAATTTTATATTTTGTTTTTCAAATGATTCATGCTGAAGTCTAATTTCTAACCTGGCAGCCATTTATATGTGTTTGAGACTCTCTGCCCATCATCAATTGATGTAAAGAACATCAGAGAACTATTTATCCTTCTTATTCATACTCACTTTTCTTGTTTCGCATTTATGTTTGAATAAGGTTTTACTTTTTCACACCACACCCCTTAATTGATTTGGAATGATTCTAACAGTTTTAGTGCTTTTGATTTCTTTGTCTTCAGTTAATTAGGGATTTTTGGCAGAAGAAATGAAGGATTGCTCAGCTGGGCATTTTTTTCAACAAAAACTTCTGGTTTTTCACAATCTTATTTTCAGTTTTCAGAATAACAGAAAGCACAAAACAATATCTAGCTAATTCTAACTCTGTAGTGATAGGGCCTGACTTGCTTATCATGGTTTGTTTCTAATTAAAAATGATATTCTCCTTGGAATAGAAAATCTACAGGTGGATAAAGAATAACTTCCCATGTAATAGATATGGCACAATTGACAACTTGCATGTTACCTAGCATCACAAGTTAATATGCATCTTCCAAAAAACCCAGCAATATTTAGCTAATTCTTTTTGTTTCTATTTCGTTTCGTTTCGTTTCTAGCGTAAGAACGAGAGAGATGTCCAGGGTTGATTCTCTAATGTGATGAAGACAAAGTACCCACACCTTTCTAGAGGTATGGTTCTCTGCTCACCAGCGCAGCATTGCATATATATGCTTTTCTCGTCTTTATCTTCATTTTCTAAGATGATGATTTGGATTTACTCACTATCTTAACATTTGAATTTTGTTTTGATTGATGATTTGAGGGTTGTGTCTTTAAAATTTGATGTTTTCCTTCCAGGGTTCTATGTGGCCCTTTGTATTGCAATCAAAGTTGTATAGCAGTATAAAAGACCGGCCACAAGTAGATAGGGAATTGGAGGTACAGTCACTACCACTTAGCTCTTCAAATGCAGTGGAGAAGTTGTTGACCACAAGTCCATAACTTTCGCCTAAATTGCTCTATTTCGAGTTATGCAATTTATGGATTTGTGATGGGATTGTTAATCAGATGAGCTTGAACAAGCTTGAGCTAGACTCATGGAAGTGGCTTGACGTTAGTTCACTCATCTCATTATTCATATGGTGTCAGTTAGCAAAATCTCATTTTATTGAGCTCGGCTCAAATCATTTGATCAGTCTAGCTTTGAAACCCTTTCGTATCTCTCTGCTATTTGGTTTAGCTGATTTAAGCAGTGTTTGCGGTTGCTTAAAAAAAGCGCTTTTCAGCTTTTGGTTTAAAAAAAGCTAAAAAGAGTGTTTTCAAATGACAGCTTCTGCTTAAATTAATCACTTAAAAGCTAAAAGCTAGAAGCAGGTGGAAGGGTACTTTAAACTGCTTTTCACTTTTTCTATCACACAAAAAGTACTTATTTTACCAAACATTACCAACTTTTACTTTTTCAGAATCACTTTTTTCTCAAACACTACCAACTTTTACTATAAATCACTTTTCCCAAAATCACTTTAAAAAATCACTTTTTTAAAGTTGAAGCAATTGCAAATACTCCCTTACTGCGGGAGTGACTTTTTTTAGTTATATCTTTTTGAGCAGTCTCTGAAGAGGAAGAAAAAGGTAATCATTTTTTGTTGAATACTGGGCGAGATGATCATACTATTATGCTCTTAGAGGAATATCTAAGTCAGGTCAGTGGATGACTTCTTACTTCTTAGTTATTGGTTATTTTGAAATTTGAACTTACCAATCATAAGTTCATTGAAAAGCGTATGAACAAACCATCTTGGCATGTTGACGTCGTTTGAGCATTGTTGTCTGTGGCATTCTATGGAGACAATTTTCATGTAAAGAATAATAGTTACAATGTCCTTTATTACCTTCATATTAAATAAAAATATTGCTATTTCATTGTAGATAACTGAGCATGTCATTAAGATAATGGAAGAAAAGAAGAAAGAAAAACTTCCTGTTTTTGAATGGTTCAAAGCACAAATCATTTCTTCAAAGCTGGATAGTGCTGATGACAATTTAATTAAGGATAGTGCCAATGTATATATGTGGGAACATAGCAAACTATCATATGTGGCTCCATTGAATGTGGTTGATTGATATAATATCATGGTTGTATGTGTGGGCTTAAAGGTGTTATTAATGAATAGTCTATAGTTACCTATCCAAATATATATGTCAATCCCTAATTTACTTTGATTAAAATCAACTAACATTCCATTAGTTCCTTTTTATAAGGTACCTTCCTAATTGATATAAATTCATAAATTATCTGAGAAACATTTTGTGTTCTTTGGGCTGATGTTAATACAGTTTGCCAATAATTATGTCCCTTTCCTGGTTCAACCATGTTGTTCAAGGTTTTTATTTTTTCATTTAATTTATTTATTACCTTAATGCTTCAGTTGATTCTTCTTCAAATTAAAATTCAGACGAAAGAGAGGATGGTCATCAGGCTTAAAATATAAATTTCTTGGATACTAGAATGTCTGAATACGTTATAATTTCCTTTTGATATGCATGCCTTATCTTTTGTTATTGATATGAAAATTGCAAATCTCCTATATGTTGATATGTTGGCTTCCTTGTAGTGCTCTCTTCTCTCACTGGGAGGCAAAGTCAAAGAGGAATATGCCTCTCTAATGATTAATGCAGGCCTTCTTGTAAGTAATGGGAATTATATATTCATTCGAAGTGAAGTTCTTTTATTTAAATTCCGTTCAGCAGTCTTTATTAAAGTCATCAGAACTCATAAATTCATAGTTTGTATTGTGCATGCTTTATAGTATTTGAAGAATGAAGACTACTGTCCTATCTGATTCTGCTAATTTCTAAGACTCAATTACTTGCCCAGAGTACATCAATTACTTGCTACACCTTAGAAGGATGCAATGTTATTGATCTATTTATACTCCATCAAGTTTATCTATTTATCTATTTTCTTGACAAAACACAATAATAATTCAAGTGAATCACTTATCAAACAGAGCAGACCATTGTATATATTGCTATAATCTCCCCGAAAGATGGCATGGTGGTGGGATGGATTCTTCTTCCCAATTTCAGATTCGTTCGTATTTTTTAACTATATTTTACTCAATGCTGTTGGTACTCAATATCTTAGAATCTTAGAATGTATAAAATGGTTTATGGGAATTGAATTGTAGGAGGTGGACGTCAATCTTATCGTCACAGACTAGCCTGGGATGACCGGCTCTGATTTTCTCAAAAGAATCAAGGTATTTGCCATTTACTACATCCAACCCTCATTTTCTTATTGTCTCAACGAACTTTCAAACATTTTTAACTAAATAATTTGTGGTACTTCTTACAAAGTATTGTCACTTTATATTCTACGCACCATTTCATAATTCAAATATACAATTTTCACTTTTTTAATTTCACATGATGATCAAATTTGTTATATACTTGTATCCATTATATAGAATATATGTTGGAAGATATTTTCATGATATTGTTTCTAAGAAGATAAAATGGGCTACTGATTAGCGAGTATATCAGGTAATCATTGCCTACCTCTGTCTCATACTTGTTGCCCATATTTCTTCTCTTGTTTTAGTCACACTTCTTTTTATTTCACAGCTAGCTATTGTAATATGATCAACCTCTTTGGTTGATTTCAACTTCATATCAGCGAGGAAAATGAATATTTCAAAGCGGAGACGGGCTCCAGGCTGAGGGCAGTCTTTTAAGGTTGGCACGATTTAAACATATTTAGCTTACGAACCATATCTTTAAACACTCTACAAAAACCAGGAATTCTTTCATTTTGGACAATTTTTTTCCCTTTGATTTTCTACTGAACATGGCTTTGTTTGTACTTCAATTTTTCTTTGATTCAGGAAAGTTAAAGGACGACCGAGCTGTTCTATTATATATCAGCCATTGGAATAGTGCTTTGCTATTGCACAAGTAATGAATATTGTTTTTGCACGACTTTATTGATTGTTTTCCATTGTTGGGCCAGATTTCGCGCAAAGCGCGTTACCATGCTAGTATATATATATATATATTGATTACTGTCATGTTTTGACAGTACCAGACTTCAAACATGACATTATTTTCCAAACTTGACAGTAATTACTCCTATTTTGGGAATAAAAACATGTCAGTCATATTTTGGAATTTTCAAACTTTTTAGTCATATTTCGAGAACTTTCCTTTTTTTATCGGGGGTATTAAATTATACTACCTCCGTCCCTTTTTTATTGGGACGGAAGAAGGTGACACGAGTTTTAAGAAAAGTGGGTTTGTGTGGTTGATATTTGAGATAATTACCTATATAGGACTAAAAAGTAAGAATTATGCACAAATAGGACTTGAGCTTTCCGTAAAGTTTCGTGAGAGTAAAAAGGATGACCTGACATAAATGCCCTTAATGAATCTGCAGTTCATTTGTTATTAATATTTTAAATCAAAATATATAAAACAAACAGTACATGTACAACAGATAATCGCGCACACAACCCTCAGGCCAATAAACACCTACTCTGCCGCCGCCGGTCCATAATCCATTATTGCCTCTGCCGCGTCATCTGCCGCCGCCGCGCCGTCCGCCACTGCCGCCACCGCAGCAATGTCCGCCGCCGCCGCGTCGTCCGCCGCCGCCGCGTCGTCCGATTCCGCCGCCGCGTCGTTTGCCTCTGCCGCTGGTGGCTCTACCACCTGTCACCGCCACCAATGTCATCATCGGAGTCGCCTCTTCCACCACTGACCGACGTTGCTGCCATACACTGGACGCTTCTTGGCGGCGCCTCCGTCACCATCTCCACAGCTACCTTTGCCTCTGCTATAAATCTCATTAAAATAAAGGATATGTGTAATTATTGTCATTTTCAGATTTTCATGGCATTATAAATGTTATATTTGTAATGAGAATAATATTGTCATCATAACAAATTTAATGTCATATGAATGACACTATGTGTAAAAATAACATATATTTATATAAGTAATAACATGTCATTATTAGTCATCTTGATGGAATTAATGTAATAAAAATGGCATTATTAGCCATCTTGATGGAATTAATGTAATAAAAATGGTTAAGTCATCTTGATGGAATTAATGTAATAAAAATGGACTTATTAGCCATCTTGATGGAATTAATGTAATAAAAATGGCATTATCGATCAAATAATAATTTCACATCTTAATACCATAAAAATCACTTTAAATTAGGGATTATGGAAATTTCATATTTAAATTGAAAAATGAATTCTAAAAAGTTACAAGAACAATGTAAATTTATTATCTATATTTTACCAAATAAAAAAGCTAAAAGAACAAAAGTAGAAAGAAAAGTTGAAAGAGAAAAAAGAGAAGAAATAAAAAAGTCTCCAATATAAACAGAACTGGAAAGACAAAGGATACTTGAAGCAAAGAAAATTTAAAATCTCATAAATACAATATTAAATCTCTACAATAGGAGGAATAAATTGAAGGAGTAAAGTTAGTAAATTAACCAACCATATGGTCTTTGTTCAAATTTCAAAAAGGAGTTTTTGTGCTTAATTAATCTGAGAAGAATAAGAAAGGAGAAAGAGGATGAATAGAAAGAGGAGAAGAAGAGGAAAGAAGAAGAACATCAAGACTTACCAACATTTTCGCCACCGCCCATCGGCGGTCGCCGGAGATGCGCAGATTCACCATCCAAACATTTATAAGCATGCACACATGGAAAAATTGGGGAAAAAATTATTACGTCCAAGTATGTGATAGATGAATTATGAGATGAGAAAGAATAGAGATGAATTATTAGATGAGAAAGGAGAGAAGGGAGAAGCGAGAGAGGATGGAGGGGGAGTAGGTCGGCAGGAAAAATGGAAAAATGGAACATGGGGGTGTGGGTGTGGGGTAGAGGAGAAAATGAATGAGATTGATGGATGGAGAGTCTGAGATACCGACAGAATTATTTGCGTAGCAGCTGCAAGGAGGGGCAAACACGGAATAAAATTATAAGAAGTCCTATTTTGGAATTTTTCTATTATTTTAGTCCTATTTGAGGCAAATTCTATTGATATTAATTGATAAAGTAAGAATAAAATAAGAATGATTTTGAGTCACATAAACTTTACCAAATAAAATATGAGACAATTAAATAAAAACATCCCAATACGTTAAAACGAGACATCAAAAAGGGGACGGAGGGAGTAGTTAAACATGGGCATGTGCATAAATTTAAATCAAACATTTAAATTTAAGAAACGTGTGGACCGTGGTTATGCTTAGTTGACCATCTTTATGATTTTATTTTACGCTGTAAAGATAGGAATATACGATCAAAGCTTCTATTCGATGATTTCGAACAACGCACACCCCAGTATTTATGTCCATATTCACACTGAGCAGCTCTATCTCTTTAAGATTTCTCTCTCCGGTCATCACTGTCCTTTTCAGCGATGGCTAATGCGGTCCGGGCATTGAAGAATGGGAGCGAAGGTGGCTCGTCGGAAAGCGGCAGCTCAGAGGGCGGTGGATCAGACAGATTCTTCGGCGGCGGTGTTAGCTCCTTCGAGTACTCTGGCTGGGTGTATCATCTCGGGGTCAATTCTATTGGCCGCGAGTATTGCCATCTCCGCTACCTCTTCATCCGCGGGAAGAACATTGAAATGTACAAGCGCGACCCTCATGAGAATCCCGGGATTGTAAGTCCTAATTAAATACCTCTCTTAGAGTCTTAGCTGTAGTCATGGTTACTAAGCTGTAATTATGATTACCTCTTTTAGCTATTTTTTTTTTTTTAAAACGTAGAAGCTTTCTCTATCTTCTTGAGAACGGAAAAATACCTTGATTAATAAGGGGAAAATAAGGCGAATGAATTTAGTCGGAGAACTGAACTCTGGGTAGATTGGATTAGCTCACCAACTAGATATTGCTATGTTTTAGTTGTCTGTTCCTGTGGTTATTTTCCATTTACAGTACAAAGAATTATTCAGGTTCCCTTTCTAGAAGTATGTAAGAAAATGTTAAGATCTTGAAATAGATTACCTCGAAGGATATTAACAACCCTATAAACTGAAGCTGTACTAATAACTGAACCACTTCAGTGGTTGATACATGCTTTTCTGTTATGCTAAGCATTCCACCCCGATTTTGTCAAGAACTCATGTTTTAATGCATTGTTCTGTTCTTTTGAATAGCTCTGTGCTATTATCAGCTAAAAAAAGAATCTGGTTCCTAAAACTAAAGTTGTTTTAGTAACGGGATTTTTTTTTAAGGATCTGAGGTACATAGAAAGTAGTCGTGAATATAGTGGCATTTTTAGAAAGGTCAGTAATCAGTATGTTCATGTATTATACATAATGATTTGACTCAAGATCATACACGCGATGCCTAAGTGTTGTATACACACACACACGAGGTCTGCCAACCATAGTCCATAGGCCTAAGGACATGGGTTAAGGAACTAAAAGATCAAAGCTTCTAATCCAAAACTGCAGGAGTGTGTACATATTACACATCTCAACTTGTTTGTGTTGTATCCAAAAAAACATTCTATTATTAGATAGAGATATATCCCACATGATCAAAGCAAAGTGAATAAAAAGTAAGAGTGCATCAGATTTTTTAAAAAGTAAGGTATGGCAACTTGACTGAAGGGTAAATTTTATGAAATAACAATTGGGTTTGCATTATTGTGTGTCATAAAGTGTTGGGCAATGTAATAGTGTCACATTCAAATGATAAATGTGGTTGAGATGCGTATGTTGCATTGGACGTGTGTGCATACCAGTAGAGACTGTTTGAGGGATGAGAATCAGGTGAAAAGTGGGAGTACCTCATATTGAAGATAAAATGTGAGATTCTCAATTGCGGTGATTTGGTCATGTGTTGAAGACCGAGTGATGCACCCGTTAGGTGGATTGAGAGGTGGGAAGAGGGAGGAGGGAGGAGAGGAAGAGGATGACCCAGAGTGACACAAATTAGAGTGGTCAAGATTCAAGAATGATATGGTAGTATGGTACTATTTGGATTAGATGAGACTATGACATCGGATAGGGCAAATTGGAGAGAGAGCACATCTGTGGAGGATTGATCTTACATTATCTGTCTTCCTGTATCTCTATCTGACGTTTTTAACTCCAATATAATATGCCAGTTCATGTTAGCCAACTCTTTTCTTTTGAGATTAAGGCTTGAATGTTCTTGTTGAACCACAGCCAACCCCCTAAGGGATATTAGCACTCGCCATATGCATGTGTAGATATAGTACACACACAGAAAAACCTAAGCCTGACTTTTGAGGCGTTGGCCTCTTATCCTGCCAAAAAAACCTAAGCCTCAATACCTGATCTGTGCGCCTCACGTTGAGGTACGCCACGAAAGCCGCCTCTTGACTGCCTTTTTAAAGCATGGCTATTATTTATTTATACTAATTCGAGGTTTTTGCCACACGTTACCTCAGGGCTTTCACCTTGAAGCAAAGGCCAACCGCCTTAGGGCACAAATTTTCCTTTCAAAACCTTGCTTCTAAGGACTACTTAATATCCAAGGAAAGAAGTTCCTAGTTTTTGGTTAAAAAGGGGAATCTCATTTTCCTTTCAAAACTCAATGCTATTGATAGATGAGATTTTTTTGGGTTGAACAATATAACATAATTGGACATGCTCTGTCAATTGGGTTCTGTGACTCCACTTAAAAGCCTCTTCATACTTCAAGACAATTTCTATTTATTTTATAGATCGGACTTTGGAGTGACGTGAGAGAGCTACCGCCGCAACCTTAAGCTAATATATTCAACTATGTTTTCGTTGTTTTTGTGGCAGAAACCCATTAGAAAGGGTGCTATTGGACACACACTTATGGTTGAGGACTTGGGTCGTCGAAAAGTTAATCATGGGGTAAGTATTTTGCTTCAATTCCACATTGAAGCTCCGATTTCATATGTCGATTCATGTTACCCGACCCCAAACTCTGCAGGGACTAAGGATTGGATGTTGTTATTGTTGTTGTTTCCACATTGTTACATCTTGCCTCTTCAGCACATTTTCAAAAAAATGTGTTCATTGAGATGATTGAATCTGATATAGTGCAGTATTTTCTTTTTTGGCTATTAGGATGTCTATGTTCTGAAATTTTACAATCGGTTGGATGAAGCAAAAAAGGGAGAAGTAAGTACTTTTCTTCATTTTCCATCCATTCTCTTATACGAACTGTAAATGAACTTAATTGAAAGGTATGCAGCTTTCAAATGCCATAATGCACTTTGCATTTTTTGAAATTTATTTAAGAAGATTACTACATTTCACTGGGCCTATCTTAGCTTTGTTGAACATTGAGTCCAATTTACACTAGATTGATTTATTTGATCATTTTCATTTTCATTTTCATTTACCCTAGTGCCGCAAAGGCTCCCACCTACGATGGGGTAAGGGGGGGTCGGATGTATGCAGTCTTACCCCTGTACTAAAGCACAGAGAGACTGTTTCTGGATGACCCATAAGATTGATTTATTTGATCTACTGATAAAATTGGTAGACTACACAGCGTTAGTGTTATGAATGGTGGATGACCAGAATTCTTCGATAGACCTCCATAAACTGCCATTCACAATTTTCTGCGGCAGGAGTTTCCTTTTGAAGGGAAATTTTCAACCTTCATCAGTGGTCGGATGGGATTTGTATCCAAACATTGTATCATATAAAATATTTATTTATTCCACATTGAATAGGGTGCAATTCTCTCCATTCATTGAAGAATATATAATTTCCCAGCATATGAAAATTTGTGTTTTTACCAGATTGCTTGCCCTACAGCTGGAGAAGCCAAACAGTGGATGGAGGCATTTGATCAGGCAAAACAACAGGTACTAAAGATTTGAGCAAAGCTGTATAGTATATTGGATCAGTCAACTAGACTTCATTGTGATCAAGATTTACAGTGTACTATGGAGCAGTCAAAAGGCTTCCATTCTTAACCTGTGATCTATTGACCACTGCTTAAATGATCACATTTTTTGTGTTCCCCTCTATAACCTGGTCAAGAAAAGGAAATTTACCAACATACTTTTAATGAAATCATTAATTCCATAGTCCTGTTTTTTAAAACTTAAATGCTTTGCATATTTGTCAAAATCTCACTCCTGAAGCAAAGATACCTGTCAAGTATTGTTACAGTTTTTGGTACTTCCTTTCAATCAACTAATTCGTCGCAGGCAGAATATGAACTGACTAGAGGTGGCAGTGCAAGGACTAAGCTGAACATAGAGACGGAGTATGGGTTACACACTCTCTTATAACAACGAGACCTATATTTGGACTAAGTACACACAAAGTTTCTGTATAAAGATAAACTTTCATTGCTCATTTCTAATTTCTTTTCTTTTCCACATATTATAGAAGCACTAAATGTAATGTGTAAATAAAACATCCTGAACAATTTGGGCATAGACTGTTCCACACATGAAAGTTTTTCTCTGTTATTTCTTGTGTTGCTGTGCTTAATTCTGAATTTCTGCAGACATAGTTCATATTCCTTCCCTAAATACACTTGTCAATAAAATGATAAAAATGATTATTATTGTTGGAAAACTAGAGAAAGAGTCACCACAAGTGGTGGGTGGAATCAATAAAAGTATAAACAAGAGCAATAGAGAAATATAATGCACAGGGCCATGGGCTCTGAATTTCATTAGAATTGAATGTAGCATGAAATCACGAAGATTGCAACAGTTAGGGATGTTTATGCTAAATAAGGATCACATCACACATGAGCTAGGAATGTTACTGTTATTATGATTCCAAATCCACGATGTAGATAAAGTAAAAAAACACTCCATATATAGAGTTCTAAGATTCCTAAAGGGTTGAGTTTAGGCAATCTTTCTAATCTCTTTTATGTTATGTCTA